ACTATTCTAGGCACTTTACTACTTTAAGATCACACTATTATTTTTATTTTATTTTTTTGAGACGGAGTTTTGCTCGTTGCCCAGCTGGAGTGCAATGGCATGATCTCAGCTCACCACAACCACCACCTCCTTAGTTCAAGCAATTCTCTTGCCTCAGCCTCCCAAGTAGCTGGGATTACAAGCATGCATCACTACACCTGGCTAATTTTGTATTTTTAGTACAGACAGGTTTTCTCCATGTTGGTCAGCCTGGTCTCGAACTCCCTACCTCAGGTGATCCACCCACCTAGGCCTCCCAGAGTGCTGAGATAACAGGCGTGAGCCACGACATCCAGCCGAACTATTATTTCTACTATACAGATGAGAAAACTGAGGCAGAGACAGGCTTATTAACTTGCACATGATCTTACAAACTACATTTGACAAAGCTGAATTCAAATTCAGCCCAGACCATTTCATGTAAGTGTATGTACAGGCCATCATGGGACCCAATAACGTGGTGCAGAGGGAGGGTGGAGGGAAGCCCTCACTGAGCAGTCTTAAAGGAGGGGGCTTGTCAAGGAGCAAGGAGAAAATATTCCAGAGAGAAAAGGAAATAACATACAAAAACCTAGAGCAGGCCAGATACAATGGCTCATGCCTGTAATCCCAACACTTTCCAACACTTTGGGAGGTTGAGGCAGATGGACTGCTTGAGCCCAAGAGTTCAAGACCAGCCTGGCCAACATTGTAAAACCCCACCTCTACAAAAAATACGACAATTAGCTGGGCATAGTGACGCATGTCTGTAGTCCCAGCTACTTGTGAGGCTGAAGCGGGAAAATCACCTGAGCCTGAGAAGTCAAGGCTGCAGGGAGCCATGATCACACCACTGTACTCCAGCCTGGACTGGAGTGAAACCATCTCAAAAAAAAAAAAAAATCCAAAAACAAAAATAAAAACCAAAGCAAAGACGGAACATAAGTTCTAGGAATGGCAAATGGAGCACAGAGTTACATTCAGCAATTACTTCATCTTAAAGGTTCACCAGAAAGTTAAATCATTTAAAAGTAGACATTTAATAGTTCCATCATTGAAAATTTATATGGCCAAAGTATTCACCGTGGCTAGGAAAGTACAAAGGAGTAAAATAAAGGCAATTTTTTTATATGATTAGGCTAAAAGTCTGAATGATGTTGAATAAGTAATGAGGAACCACAGAAGGATCCTAAACAAGAGATTTACAAGATCGACTTGTACAATACGGGGAGGGAATTACAGATTGAAGTCAGGAGGCTATTGAAGAGCCCAGCAGTGAGGTCATGAGAGTTAAACCAGAGCTATCCAAAAGAAATACAATGCAAGTTAAATGTATATAACTTTTAATTTTCTAGTAGCAACATTAGAAAAAGTAAAAAGAAAGGCCGGGTATGGCGTCTCACACCTATAATCCTACCACTTCGGGAGGCCAAAGGTGGCGCATCGTTTGAGCATAGGGGATTGAGACCAGCCTGAGCAATACAGTGAAACCTTGTCTCTTACAAAAAATAAAAAATTAGCCTGACATGATGGTGCACATCTGTAGGCCCAGATACTTGGGAGGCTGAGGTGGAAGGATTGCTTGAGCCAGCCAAGACAAGGCTGCAGTAAGCTGTGATTGCACCACTGCACTCCAGTCTGGACAACAGAGTCTGGACAACTCAACCTGGACAACTCAGCCCTGTCTCAGAAGAAAAAATAAACAGTGAAAATAAATAAGTGAAGGCTGGGTCCAGTGGCCCACACCTGTAATCCCAGTACTTTGGGAGGCCTAGGCAGGCAGATCACTTGAAGCCAGGAGTTTGAGACCAGCCTGGCCAACATGATGAAACCCCGTCTCTACTAAAAACATAAAAATTAGCCAGGCATGGTAGCTGGCACCTGTAATCCCAGCTAGTTGGGAGGCTGAGGCAAGAGAATTACTTGAACCCAGGAGGCAGAGATTGAAGTCAGTCGAGATCATGCCACTGCTCTCCAGCCTGGGCAACAAAGTAAGACTTTGTCTCAAATAGAAAAGAAATAGGCCAAGCGCGGTAGCTCACGCCTATAATCCCAGCACTTTGGGAGGCCAAGGCGGGTGGATCACGAGGTCAAGAGATCGAGACCATCCTGGTCAACGAGGTGAAACCCCATCTCTACTAAAAATACAAAAATTAGCTGGGCATGATGGTGCGTGCCTATAGTCCCAGCTACTCAGGAGGCTGAGGCAGGAGAACTGCTTGAACCCAGAAGATGGAGGTTGCGGTGAGCCGAGATTGTGCCATTGCACTCCAGTCTGAGTAACAACAGCGAAACTCCATCTCAAAAAAAAAAAAAAGAAATAAGTAAAAATAATTTTAATAATAATTTTATTTACCACCAGGCATGGCAGCTCACGCCTGTAATCCCAGCATTTTGGGAGGTCAAGGTGATAGGCTTGTTTGAGCCCAGGAGTTTGAGACCAGCCTGGGCAACATGTCCAAACCCTGACTCTACAAAACAAAAAAAAGAGCTGGGTGAGGTGAGCTGGGTGAGGAGGTGAGCTGGGTGAGGTGTCAGGCGCCTGTAGTCAGAGGCTGAGTTGCTAGGTGGCTTGAGCCCAGTATGCTGAGGTTGCACCACTGCACTCCAGCCTGGGTGACAGAACCAGACCCTGTCTTAAAAAATATATATATTATTTAAACCTAAAGTATTATTTCACTATGTCATCAATTTTATTCAATTTTTTTTTTTTTTTGGAAGCGGAGTTTCGCTCTTGTTATCCAGGCTGGACTGCAAATGGCGCAATCTCGGCTCACCGCAACCTCCACCTCCTGGGTTCAAGCAATTCCCCTGCCTCAGCCTCCTGAGTAGCTGGGATGACAGGCACGTGCCACCGTGCCCAGCTAATTTTTTGTATTTTTAGTAGAGACGGGGTTTCACCATGTTGACCAGGATGGTCTCCATCTCTTGACCTCGTGATCCACCAGCCTCGGCCTCCCAAAGTGCTGGGATTACAGGCGTGAGCCACTGCGCCTGGCCTAATTTTTTTCAATTTTTGTACTAACTTGAAATCTAGCATGTATTTTATACTTATTTCAGACACCAAATTCTCATTGGAAACTTATATTTAGATTTCATAAACTGACAGATGAAAAAGATGCCCAAGTTGCTCGAAACATACTTGAACATTTTCCAATAGGTGATCAAGGAGCAATTTGTCAAGTTAATTTAATTACAATTAAATAAAATTTAAAATGGGCTGGGCGTGGTGGCTCACGCCTATAATCCCAGCACTTTGGGAGGCCGAGGCGGGTGGATCACAAGGGCAAGAGATCGAGACCATCCTGGTCAACGAGGTGAAACCCCATCTCTACCAAAAATACAAAAATTAGCTGGGCATGGTGGTGCGCGCCTGTAGTCCCAGCTACTCGGGAGACTGAGGCAGGAGAATTGCTTGAACCCAGAAGGCAGAGGTTGTGGTGAGACGAGAGTGTGCCATTGCACTCCAGTCTGGGTAACAACAGCGAAACTCCGTCTCAAAAAAAAATTTTAAATGTAGCTCCTCAGTCATGCTAGATGCATTTTAAGTGCTCAACCTGCACATGGCTACTGGATTGGACAGTACAGGCCTAAAATGTGACAAAGGAACTCTGCTGGCACTTCCACCAACAGCATTTCGTATCTAGTTACTGTTGAGGTTTTCTGTGTATAAACATCAATAACTTCCCAGATATTAACTATGAAAGTAGTCCTACTGTCACATAACTACAGTAGGTTACATTCTCTAGGCCAATGCCAACATCTGTGAAAAAGGAATCATCTAATGACTACACAGAATTGCTATGTAGTACCTCTCACAAGGAACGCAGTTAAAAATGTTTGTGTGATAAATACATATTCTTCTTCATTACTCAAAGACTAATTCATTTGTTTGTGGACTACTTAAACTCTTCATTTCTATTTTTCTAAGGTTCAACCATTTGAGTTAACTATACCCTGTGTCCAACGGAAAAAGATAAAGCAGTAAGAAAACCTACATTCAGCTGTCTATCAGCAGCGTTATGGGAAAACAGTTAAGAGCTTAAGCTCTGCAGTCAGACTGTCTGGATTCAAATCCTGATTCTATCTTTTACTAGACGCATTATTTTGGGTAAATATTTGGTCTCTCTGTGCCACAGTTCCCTCTTCTGTAAAATAGTGATGACACTACATATTCTCTCAAGGTGCTTTGAGGATTACAGGAGAAAATACACAGAGCATTTGCACACAGTACTTGACACATAGTAGATGCTCAATAAAATTAGTTTCTTTTATTTTTTGAGGCAGGGTCTTGGTGTGTTGCCCACACTGGAGTGCAGTGGCATGATCACTGCTCACTGCATCACTGCAGTCTTGACTTCCTGGGCTCAAGCAATCTTCCCACCTCAGCCTCTTGAGAAGCTGACTACAGGTCCCCAACACCTGCTCAGCTAGTTGTTGTTTTTTTTTTATAATTTTTTGTTTTTGTGGGTCCATAGTAAGTATATACATTTATGGGACTGGCTAGTTTTTAAATTTTTTGTAGAGACAGGGCCTTGCTCTGTTGCCCAGACTCGTCTTGAACTCTCAGGCTCAAATGATCCTCCTGCCTCAGCTTCCCAAAGTGCTGGGATTGAAGGCATGAGCCACCGCAGCCAATGTTAGCTTTTTAAACAGAGATGCTGGAGAAACTGAAATTATGTCTAAGGTTAAAAAAAAAAAAAAAAAAAAAAAAAAAAAAACTACAGAGGTCATGCTGAGAAAAAGTAGGATTTCTCAATTATCCATGTCTCCCACCTTACCTTAGATACCAAAAAAAAAAATCAACTGTAGAGGTGGTAATTTGAAGTCCTCAAAAGAAAAATCAGCATGTGGTTATAGTCATTTAAAAAGGGGATAAATAAGAAACTTCATCTACTGACAGGGTACAATTATGCAGTACAGCACAGGTGCAGCCAAGCAAAAAGAAAAACATAAGGCAAAATAGGAAGGCACTGCCTTACCTGCTTCTCCGTTTTCGAGGCGGTTTCTCCACTGTGCCAGTCAGTCTACAGACCAAACAAATGAGACAGTAACTAAAAGTAACATACAAGAAAACATCTCCCGGCGCTACCGTGCCAGTCAGGAACTACATGGACCACCCTCTAGGAACACAGGCTCGCCAAGCCCAGACCTGACCTTACAAATGCCTTATGCCCTGTTTCCCCAATTTACCAAGACCAAGCACTCCTGGGACTCACCGTTCCCCCAATTCCCCCTGAGCCCAAACCCTCTTGGTCCCTCACCCCATCCTCAGCCGCTGTTCGTCACAGCCCTGTTCCCCAAAATCACCCACCTCCACCTACTCATTGTCTGCCTCGTCACCCCCGCAAGCCCCCCCAGCCTCCCCTTTCCAGTGACCACCCGCTCCCAACTGTGCACTGCCCCTCCGCGCCCCGCCTCTCCGGGCCCGGCGACCCCCGCATTCCGTGGCCCCTCCGGGGGCACGCGCGCCTTGCCCCTCCCGGCCCAGCGCCCCCAGCCTCACCCCTCGGCGCTCCTTCCCTCACACGCCCCTCTCACCTGGCCTCGAGAATGCAATCGCGCCCAGCCCGCGCCGCCGCCTCCAGGGGCCCCCCGGATCCCCCAGTCTGCACCCCCCGCCCCTCCAGTCTCTGTGCCCCGAATGCTCCGCGGCCCCGAGCCGCTGCCCCTGGGCCCGCTCCCTGGCCCCCGCCCCATCCCCAACCCCGGCCTCCACCCAGCCCCCGCCCCACCTGGGGGCCAGGCGACTCCGCGGCTGCTGGGGCTGCCGGGCTCCTCTGACCATCCGGCTCCTGCTCCGCCGCGGGAGCTGCTCCGGCGGCCGCAGGGCTCGCTCGGGAAGCTGAGGCGGCGGAGACTGGAGTAGGCGGAGAGGCGGGAGGAGGGCCTCGCGCCTCTGCAAGGCTTGCCGCGGGGCCCGCCTCCACCGCGCCTCTCCTTGGCTCCTATTGGCTAGAGCCGTAATGTGGACGGAAACCTGGTAGTTGATTGGACTCTCGGGCCGTCATATCCCGCGCTGCCCACCCAGAGGTTTGGTTGAGACTGCAGGTGGCGGCGGAGGTGCCTTAGAGATTGCTAGCTGGGCCCGAGGAGACCCGGGCGCCACCATCCGCCAAAAAGTAGGAACTGCACCCCCGGCGCCAGACACCTGCCCCAGGTTCTCCTGGCTCTGCGTCCTGCATCCCACACACCTGCACCGCTCCAGGACCCAAAGCAAGCCTGAAATCTCCCAGTTTCCTCTAGCAAGTGCGACAGTGAGGCAACTCTCACAAACGTGCTTCCCTTTAAGCCACCTCGAATGCGATCCCTGTCCCTACATCTTGCTGAAATTGTCTCACAGCTCACAGCTACCCCTCAAAAAGGATCCAGCGAGAAACTGTAAGAATCCACCAAAATAATGCATGGTTTGGCTGCTCAATCCTCTGCAGAAAATATCACTAGCTTGGGTTCCGGCTTTTAAGAAAGAGATTTTTTTTTTTAATTACCATGAAAGAAAAATCAACACTGCAAATAGAACCGATGCCATCTAAAACGCAACATGTTCCATTTTGAAAGGCCTGAACAAATTTGATCCGAGTGTGAGCTAACCATCCTGATTCTGTGACTATTAGAAGTTCTAGAGCAATAAATCAATTTTAAAATGTTTTACTGTATTTTTGACAGACAAGCATGCAAAACTCCCTGTCATAAGCATAATTAGCCTTCGTCTTCTGCTTTAACAAAGCTATCCTTGAAAATAAGACTCAGCTAATTAACATATTATAAAATTCTTGAAGGTGGGAAGGCCTCTCTAAATCTCTACCCCTGTGTGCATTTGTTTGGTAAATTCTTTTTTTTATTTATTTATTTTTTTTTTGAGACGACGGAGTTTCACTGTTGTTACCCAGGCTGGAGTGCAATGGCACGATCTCGGCTCACTGCAACCTCCGCCTCCTGGGTTCACCCAATTCCCCTGCCTCAGCCTCCTGAGTAGCTGGGATTACAGGCACGCGCCACCATGCCCAGCTAATTTTTTGTATTTTTAGTAGAGACGGGGTTTCACCATGTTGACCAGGATGGTCTCCATCTCTTGACCTCGTGATCCACCCGCCTCGGCCTCCCAAAGTGCTGGGATTACAGGCATGAGCCACCGCGCCCGGCCTTGTTTGGTAAATTCTTAGCATCCGTTCAGAGTTGGGAGGAAGCATAAAACTTTCTGTTAAGCCACTTCCATGTTATTAGAACATCTTTTATGCCTCAATAATATGACAGCCTCGAGTAGTACATGTCAACATTGAGGTGGGGAGAATTTCTCATCGATCTCCATAAATGGCAAAAATTAGACTCGTTTTTCACAAAACCAAATGTATTTGGTGTAAAAATCTGTCTTTCCTTCTGAGATGGTCCTTCCTACATTTTTAAGGGTAAAACGACTTTCCATTTATGAAGTAATACTGATGGTAAATTGTAGTGGGATTTGAAAAATTGCTTTGACAAGGAAAAAAGTGTCAAATCTCTGTTGGTCCCCCAAATTAGTATTGTATGTAATCCTATAGTCACAGAACCACAAATCACCTCAATCTCAACCAAGTTTCCACCCATATTATCAAGCCAGAGAGAGGAAAGAACTCCGGAATAATTCATGTCAGATGCAGGGGGATCATAAACTCACTAGGGAAGTAATCTTGAAATACATTTATTACATTCCTTATTAAAAATCCAGGCCAGACGTGGTGGCTCACACCTGTAAACCCAGCACTTTGGGAGGCCAAGGTGGGAGGATCACCTGAGGTCGGGAGTTTGATATCAGCCTTACCAACATAGAGAAACCCCATCTCTACTAAGAATACAAAACTAGCTGGGCGTCCTGGCACATTCCTGTAATTCCAGCTACTAGGGAGGCTGAGGCGGAGGTTGCAATGAGCCAAGATTGCACCATTGCACTCCTGCGCAAAACTCCATCTCAAAAAAAAAAAAATCCACTGCCTGCTTTTTAGCGTCTTCCATAATTGACCAATCCTCACTGCTATGTGGCAGATATTGTCAATAGAACAGAAGCTATTCATTTCTTATGCCTTCCCAAAAAGTATCGAGTCTTCACATTGTGTCCAAATGATCTCTGCTTGTTTTTACTCTGTAAGACATACAAACCCCATCATTCCAGTCCACATTTAATTTACACTTTTTATCTTCCCCAATTACTCAATCCCATATCAAACATTTCCTTCTCCAAATTTATTGTACGTAAAAAATCTACACTATGTTAGCCATTATACATTGCCTTGGATTATTCTTCCCAACTCCAATGAATTTGAACAAATGGTGTAAGCATATGAGCCCTTAAAAAAAGGCAGCTTTGGGCCAGATACTGGGTGCTTTGTGTGTGCTATTTTTGATACTGAGATTAACCCTGTCTGATAGTCTTATTTTAGACACAGAAATTTAAGATTCAGAAAATTCAGTTTATTCAGGGTCACACAGCTACAATAACCAATACTGCTTAAAATAGAGGGCTAAAGATATACTCTGCTGTGCCCTCCAGGGATTCAAGTTCCAGCTTTCCTGTGCAACCTTAGACAAGTCACCTATCCTTTCTAAGCCTATTTCCTCATCTGGGGGAAAAAAGAAGAAAAAAGGTTCTACAGAAAGATGAATAAAAAAATTTTTTTAAGTTTGGGCTGGGCACAGTGGCTTATGTTTGTAATCCCAGTGCTTTAAGAGACCAAGATGGGAGATTTCTTCAGTCCAGGACTTCAAGACTAGCCTGGGCAACATAGGAAGACCCCATCTCTAAGAAAAAATTAAAATTAAAAATAATAAAGGTAATATAGTTATAGGCCCATAGCAAGGGCCTATCACAAAATAGAGAATGCAACAATTTAGCTACATATGCTGAATACAGGTTAGCTGCTATTACTGCATGGCAGAGCTGGATTTTCACGTAGATCTGATCCCAAAACCTGTGCTATTCCATAATGCCTCCATAAGGACTTTTTTTTTTTTTTTTGAGATGGAATCTCTGTCACCAGGCTGGAGTACAGTGGCTCAATCTTGGCTCACTGCAGCCTCCACTTCCCGGGTTCAAGTGATTCTCCTGCCTCAGCCTCCTGAGTAGCTGGGAGTACAGGCACATGCCACCACACCCAGCTAATTTTTTATTTGTAGTAGCGACGGGGTTTCACCATGTTGGCCAGGACGGTCCTGATCTCTTGACCTTGTGATCTGCCTGCCTTGGCCTCCCAGTGTTGGGATTACAGATATGAGCCACTGTGCCCAGACCATGCAGTCTTTTATAACCCACCACTTATATACAAAAGCAAAGTGCTGCTGAGCATAGTGGGTACCTAGGGATTGAGTGGAATATACGTATGTAGTAAGTATTTTTGTTGACAACACAAAAGAAATCTATAAATGTCATGCATTTTTGAATTAAGAAAACATTTGAATGATCTGAGCCAGCATAAGTCTACTCTCATGAGGGTAAGAAAGGCACAAATTCACCAATAGATTGACAGGGAAATAGAAAACTAACAGGAGGGGAATGCAGAACCAACCTTCCCCAAGCATCTAGTGTGTCTGGCATCATGCTGGGGACTTTCCAATGTTTCTTTTTGGTGGTTTACTTCTGCGTATTTCATCAGCATTACTGCACACTGTAAATACACATTTGAAAGAGTTGTGAGGATCTCATGAAGCATAGTTCTGGGCACTGGGTCGAGGTTGTAACAATAAACACTGCCTTTAAAGAACTGGAACACTTATCACAGAGTCAAATGCAAAACAAAAGTTTCACTGTTGTTTAACAGTCAAGCAACCACATGGAGGAATAAGCATTTTTTAATTTCTTATATAAAATGCTAACTTCTTATCAGGACATACTACAGACTGTGCATTAAATTTTTTGACAAACCTCCTAGAATCTTTTTATTAATTTACACTGAGGGAATAGAGCACCTTTCATCCAAAGAACTGAAGGTGCTTTACAAACGTTAGCATTTAAAAAACAGTTACATTTTAAAAATCTGTATTCTTGCTGCTAAATCTCTTTGACTCCAGATACATAATTTCCTGGAAGCTGATAGAAACCGATTCTATTTCTGACAATGAAAGAGGCTCAGAAAGAGTCCTGATTTGCTTTCACAATACAGGCATTTTCCAAAACCTGGTGCTGGGCTTACAAAGCAAACACACAAAAATCTTAATGCAATGAACAATATTTCAAACCTTATTTCCAAAGCAAAACCTAGGGCTTAAGATGTCAAAAATCTTCCAACAGTTCTAGACATCCAGACCGAACAGGAGCTGATGCAGGTTGCACATGAGATGTACTGCTGATCCGGGCATTTTAGGATCACACCCAAATGAACATAAAGTAGTGAAACTTTATGGGGTAACACATTAACTTAGAAAAAGCTGGCCAAAAGCATATCGGCTATATGAGGAAAGGGAGTAAATGGCAATTCAAAGTAGACAGTTCTCACTAGAGCCTAGGGCACTTTATTAGAAACCAAGTATATCATAGGCAAATAAAAATAGTTCTTACCCCCATTGATACAACATAAGGGATTTTACATTCAGCCTAGATACAGGGAGTAACAAATCCTCCTGCCCATAAATCTATGACTTGCAAGTATCTTCCACCACATGATTACTCTATATAGTACATAGCCCTTATTTATTAGAGGCATCCAAAATATTCCTTGTAGGCTCATAAAGTCCAATACATTCGCTTTCTCTTCCCTTTACACGTCTAATAGTAAAAACTATTTTTTCCATGCAAAAAGCCATTATTCAGTTGAAGAGAAATCAGGCAAAACAGAGATGGCAGTTAAGGAATGGAGAG